TAAAATCCATCACGGCGGATGAAAAACGGGTGTAGTTTTCGACACCTTATTTTCCTTCCTCTGTTTCCGTCCCATCCCAATGTTAAGGGAATTTGTATGTATGGTGAAGGGAAACCAAAGCCAATCCAAGTTTACACCTGTTGCGCGTGCGCGTCGTACCTCCATTCGCTCTTTACTCTGTTCTTTCGTTCATTCCGTGGCACGTTCGGGTCGCGCCGCTGATGTGGATGTCGATTTCGGTTCATGTTATCTTGCGCCAGATCTGTCATTTACCGTTCTCCTACCAGATCGGTGCAAAGTGCACTCAAAAAACAACATCAATTATAGCAGCAGCTGACAACACAGAAATTCGCAATAATCCCAGCGATCCAGCGATCGCAGTGTGTGTGTCCGTGTCCAGTGTGAGTGAAGTGCGAAAAAAGGATCACAAAAAACTGTGATCTCAGTGGCCAATCCCCAAGGGAACGTCGCGGCAAAGCGTTCGATTATGCAAAGAGCCGGGGCACGGGCTCCACAGTGAAGGCGAAGCCGCTCCAAGTGTCGAGTGAGGTGCGACCAGGGCCAGCCATTGTCAACAGCGCATTTCAAACGATACGGATACACAGATACAGATACAGATACAGATGCAGCAACAAAAAAATTACATTAAAAAATCAAATGAAATTCGAGTGCGATTTGATATGCGAGGCACAGGCAGCAGCATAATATTTGTATGGCTTTTATCACAGATTCAGAATCATTGAAGCATAGTGTGAGTGTGTGTGTGTGTGTGTGTGGTAGTGAGTGACTGTTGAGCAACGAACTTGATGACCGGACCCCGACCAGCGTAATGGCATTCATAAGCCGTTGGCAGCAGCCACCTCATTTGATTTATTTAGATGCGTTCAATTTTAATCGCCACTGCGCCGCGCTGTGCACTTTCACCAGCCACTAACAGCATCGGGGAATGAAGTCATAACCAAATAGGCTTACGAGCCCATAAAACAGGCTCCAACTTGCACACACATTACTTGTCTGCCCATAAAAAAGCATAGGAAAAAGGCCAAAACAAAAATAATTTGATTACCGCGTCGAGGCTTTCTCTGCTCCACTTGATCCAATTAGCCAGGCTAGAAGCGGCAGTGGCTTAGCCACCCACAAGCCAAAGCCATAACCGAACCGACGTTTGTAATGGAATTGACTTACGTACATGGCCCGGGCAATGTGTCACCAATGGCTTGTTAGCAATTGAGTCCCGATACGTGTCCGTGTGGGCCGTCGACATGGCTTAAAAATTGACAAGAGACATTTGACTCGATCGAGTGTGTGTGTGTGTGTGTGTGTGTGTGGGCTTTTGATCAGAATTTATCTTTGATTTCTAATTGCTTGACATGCCAATTTAAATTTAATGCTCGACCGATAGCAATTTCAAGTGAATTCTTTGCACCGGAATGGCAGTCTGCCATAAACATGCGAATGCCGAAACGGCAACCCACAATTTGCCATAATATTTTATGGCACCAGCTGAGATTACAACCAGTGGGAGAGGCAGCGTGGTGGCCCAAGCTGGTGAGCTGCAGTCAGCTCCCCGCTAATCAATTTTTGCACAAACTTTGCTTTTGATTTGTTTGCCTTTATTGAGAAATTCTTCGTAATTATGTATGGATAGCCGCCGCCGGCACTAACGAAACAAAAACTGTTGTTTATGGCTGGCAACTTGTTGTCTCAATTATGGGCAACTCCGACTGCAGCAACTTTCTCCCTTACTTTGGCTGCTGCTGCTGCTGCTGCTGCTGCTGCTGCTGCTTAACCCAAATCCCAAATCGACGCCTCTAACTAACTGGCGTGTTAATTTGTTAGTTTCCACTTGAGAGACAGAGCGACAGCCACTAGGAAATTGCTGGAGCATGCAAGACCCTGAAGAGAGAATCTTCTCAGCTGTGGAATGTGTGGAGCAGATTGGCTGACGCTTTACAGTTATCAACAGTCTGTGTTGCTAGCATGACAAAGGGTACAAAGGGGCAGAGAGAAGGGTCAACAAACTGTAGAAAAAGAGAGGAGAGAGGAGAGCCATTTGACATTCGTTGGGCCAGAAATCTCAGCCTCATTTGCATATTTATTACACATGTTTTCTGTGTGTGTGTTTTTCTCCACATTCGAGTGAACAATTAACGAACTACACACAGACATTGTTAACTCCCCAGTCCGGTCGGGAAGTCATAAATAAAGTTGGACTCTCAATGATTAGATAGATTGGCAAAAATCCCAATTCGATCTGTCATACTGTCGCCTCGCGTTAGCCGATAAGCCGCAAGGAGCGACTCCTCGAACGGGTTTTTGCTCGTGCGGCGTTTCCTTTTTCCGCGCGACGCTGTTTTGATTGCATTTGACATTTCACACGAGTGCCACAGATTAGATTAGAGCGGCAAACACGCCCACACCACAGACACAGACACAGCAGCAGTTCCAGTTGCCTGGGAATGGAATGACAAATTTCGATTAATGGGCTATCAATACGCAGAGCAGACAAAAGGCATTTAACACTTCGAAACTGGAGGCGGGAGAGGCATCGAGAGCGAATGAAATATGAGACTGAGCCGGACAATGCCGCCTCATTAGAGAGGCAAAAACTAGTTCTAGGCTGGCTCTCCAGCCAAAGCAGAGGGGCCTTTGGTAGATCCTAAACAAATTCCAGCTGGAGCTGCGCATAAAATAGACAAAAACAAGTTAATCCATTAGCGGGCGCTGCCTGCACAAGTGAGACATCATCATCGGCGCTGCTGCCAGAACCGGAGAGAACTCGACCGCAACATTGTCTCGCATATTTCTCATTGTTTATCGCATGTTAATATTGCTGAAATGTGCCACAGCTGCATCATAAATGATGCAATTTTACAGTTGCAGCCACAATCTGATGCTGCTGCATGCAGCTCGGAGTGAGCTGTCAAGTCGCTGCTGTGGCTGCGGCTTTCTAAACCACTTAACCCAACAGTGATAAGTCCATAGATATGCCAGCTTGAGCGCTGAATGGGATGCTTGATAACACCACTTTTGAGCTCAGATCAAAAGAAAAGCCTCTTAGCACAACAAAAGGCAGCAGTCAAACCCAAATCCAATTCCAATGAAAAGTAAACCAAGGCACAGCAATTGACCTTTTCTTGAGCCACATTGCAGCAGAGAGTAGAGGAAAATCTGCATAAATAGCAATAAAATTAATTGCATCGCCTGTCTGCCAGCCGCCGGCAATGAAAACTGGAAAACTGCACAAATGTGACGGCGAGAGGAGCTGCAGTTAGCGGGGTAATTGCAGCTGAGGATTGATGACTGCAAATGCAAATAAATCAAAGCAAACTAAATAGACTAAAAGCCAAAGCAAATCAGTCAAAATAAATGCAAAATGAGCATAAAATATTGTGTCATTAAATGCGCAAATCTCTAATCAAAATCAGCTGCTAATTATGTGCCGTAGGAGGCAAAATAAAAGCAAAATAAGTCCAAAATAAGGTTTAAAAATCCATAAAAACCGATATATTTGTGGCTTGATTTGCTGCTGTTGGGGACTGACTCGTATGCAAATGTGTGGAGCCGTTAGCCGCTTCAGTCGAGTGATTTTCAATCGCTGCCGAGCAGCAATTTCCTTTGGCCATCAGTTATTGAATCGAACGAGCGCGCCGGATCGATCGGTGGCATCGATCGGCGTCACTTACACATGTACGAACAGGCAGCAATAAATACTAACGGTGCCTGGCGGCATTAACTTCGACCGACACTCGTCAGCAGCAGCAGGCAGAGGCTAGGAGGCTCCAGATGAGTCTCCACCTTGTGGCATCCAGCGCCGGAAGTCTTTGTTTGAGCATTTGGACTCCACTTTATTTCTTATGATTGTTGTGTGATCGCGTTTTGATCGCCTCAAGACGTGCCACATGTGCCGCTTGTTGTTCTTCTTCTATGTAAACTGGTTTCGTTCCCAGCGGGAATGGGCTCCATGGCCACTTACCCACTCATTGGGCTCTAATCACACCCGCCGTTGCCTGCCACTCAGTGCGCGATCTCAGCTGTAACTGCAGTTCTGGCCGCAGATCGCGTGCCCCACACACAGCGACTAAGTTGCAACTGGAAGGCGCATCTTCAGCCAGCTCCAGTTATGACTTTTCCTGCATTTGTTTTGCCTTATAATTCAATTATGTGGCAGTGGCCGCCCGTAAAGAGGCAAACTGGAATGCGTGGAATGTCTTCCAGCTGCTGGCTGCTGCCTGGGAAGCTCTTCCCAATGTTTGATCTTTGATCTTGCTGCCTCCACTCTTGATTGACAGCCAGTCCCTGCCCGAGTGCCTCCAAAGGCTAAGCTAAAAGCAGCTTAATGCTGCAGCTCTCGGCTGGCCCTCGGCTTGGATAATGGCTCCAAAGGCACTCAAAGTTGATGCTGCCACTGCCCCATGCCACTCCTCCTGCTGATGATGATGAAGATAAAGTTATTATTATCTGACAAGGGCATCGCCGCCTTGCATTGCAGTTGCAGTTTTGCAGTTTTGCACTTTTCCACTCGTTTCCATCTACGTGTCTTGTGTCTTGTGTCTTTATTAGAGGCGTCTCTAATCGCCTGATGCCTGATGGCTGAATCATCATCATCATCTGACTGCGGCAAAAGCACTTTGCTATTTGCTATTTGCTATTTGCTTTCTGCAAGCCACCAATTTTCGCACTGCGCACAAAATGTTGCCTGATTTTTGGTGCAGTTTTTGCTTGATTTTTGTTCGATTTTAAGGCATCTTTTTTGCTTGAGTTTCGCTTAATTTGTTGTGCTGGCTTTGGCCTTGTTTTCCAGCTTGTTTGGACTCCAAATTATGGCCCATCGATCAGAGTTTTGTTTGTTTTTTTTGTTTGTGAAAGTTGCAGGCAAAATTTGTGTAACGTTTGAAATGCGGCTGGAAAATGTCCCAAATGGAAACTCTTTTAACTAATTAAGTGTCACATAAAACTAGTGAAATAAAAGCAAAGAAAAAACTCAACTAAAACGCACCAAAAAACAGCAAAATTCAGCTTCAATAAATTGTGAAAAAAAAAACAAAGGCAGGCAGGATAATGTCATTGGCAAGAAGAAAAGGCAACTGAGAACTGAAAAATAATTACGGCAGGAAAGAACAATAATAATAAGCAACATGAGCAGCCTGTCAGCGGTGCCAGGAGCTGTTGCAGAGGCAGCAGCAGCAGCAACTGGAGTTGCCACTGCCACGGGCAGCATGGAGCCAGCGATGGTGCCACGTACCGCCAATTTGCTGGCATGCAAACAATGGTGGCGCGTCTGCTTCTTGTACGGCGACCAGCAGAAATATTATCGACAGCTCTATAGCAAGGCAGCGGCACAGCGGCTGGCCCACGGAGCCACCAACAATGAGGCAGGCGGCCAGGGACAGGGACAGGGACAGGGCCAAGAGTACGACACGGTGGCTGGCGATTTTATCGCTGCGCAATTAGATGCCGCCGAAGATGCGGACGATGGCATTGATCTGGCAGGAGATAACAGCAGTCAGCCAGGAGCAGGAGGAGCAGGAGGAGCAGGAGGAGCTGCTGCTCGCCCACTCTTTCCGCTGTGCACCTCGCCGCGACGCAGCAAAAAGCTTCTTCGCTCGCTCAGAGCACATGTCCGCGGGGAGAGCAGGCAGGAGAAGGTGAGGGAGAGGGAGAAGCCAGAGCTGACCCAACGGAATGCCCGTGTGACTGTGCTCGATGATCCCTTTCTCTTTGGCCTGGACATAGACGCGGAACATCTGGGGGATCTGGTGGAGGGCCGTGGCAATGGCAGTGCCAGGGGCAAGCAGTACAGTCCGCTGGAGGCCACAGAGAGCATTGCCAGATACTACGATGAGCTGCAGCAGGAGACGCTAGAGGCCACAGCGCAGGTGCTCGAGATCATCGAACAGGAAGAGGAACAGGACAAGGAGCCACCCAAGCCCGCGCTGCCGCCGAAGCAAAAGCAGCCACGTCCTGTGCCCCCGCCGCTGCCAGCGCGTATCACGCAGGGCGCGTTGCAACCTCTGACCGTCGGCGATCTGCAGTTCCTGAATCTGAGCCTGCGGCAACGCAGTTTACCGCGCAGCATGAAGCCGTTTAAGGATCCCCACGATATCAGTTTCACTTTCAATGAGCTGGACACTGGAGCGGAAGTGGCCACAGGAGTTGGCCCCGCCACACAGCAGGAGTCCAATGAGTGAGTAACCTTCCGCCCCGGCAGCTCGCCAAAACTCATTTGTCAAGAAGAGCCAAAGCCAAAGCCCTTTTCCTTTTAAGATGCTGCTGCTCCTGCTGCTGCTGCTGACAATTTAAATGCACAATTTGAGTTTGCCTCTCTGGCCACAGTCGCATAAAGATTGATTACCCGCAGGAGCACAGCGATCCCCAGCAGCCCGAGAGGAGCTGAAACCAAGCCAATGAGCACACATTGCGTGTGCTGTGGAGCCCCAAACCGCAAAATGCACGCAACCCAGGAGACAGGAACTTGTTCTTGTCTTGGCAGCCACTGAAATTGAAACCCCCAAAGGCAGAGACAGTGGGGCCAGAGAGTCGGCGACTGAGCAAGAATGTGTGTGGAGTGTGTCTGCCTTTTCGCTGCTACTTGGAGCCACCAAAAAGCGCAAACAACACTCGGCAATGGGGCACTAATGGAGCTTCCCATCACGCTCTGCCCGTCCGTCACTCTCCCACGTAGCTGCCCCGTAATAACTTCTCTGGGTTCCCACCATCAACGGAATTAGCTCTGAGAGTTGCCAGTGCCTGCACACACAGAACACAAACAGAGCCCTGTGCTCACACCTTGCACCAGTGTGCCGTGCCGCACACACTCTACGCATCACTCGCATCGAAGGCAGGCCTTTGGGTGTCTCCTCTTACCGCTGGCAGCTCGGGTTACGCATACGCCGCATTGCCCCGCGCCTGCCATTGGTTGTGCTGTTGCGGCGATAAACAAACGACAACTGCCAAAGTGTGATTTACCAGAGGCCTTTGTGCGCTCCCTGCAGCTTCGCCGCTGCCTCCCTCCGTGTCTCCGCTTTCATGTCATGATTTTGCATAATGCCATGCAAATATCGGAGGCTGCTGCCTGCATTGTTGTGGCAGGCACGCAGCTTATGAAATATGGCCAGCGATTGTTTGTGCCGCCTGACATTTCCTACTTCTGCTTGGCATATATTTGTATGCACATTTAAGGGCTTTGATTTAGTATGCAGAAGGACTTTGGCTGCTCGATTGTGGAGCCCTAAGACAAAAGACTTGGGCCACAAACTGGCAGCAGACAGGGGCACAGCCACAACTCAATTAGGTTTTGCCGATGATGAAGAGGATGATGATGAACCTTTTGGCAACTGCAAATTAAAGCGCCCAGCGCAGAAGGCACAAATCAAAGCATAATTATTAATAATAACAGTTGCCGTTTCAGTTTCTTTTCCCAACACGCAATCGATGGACAGACACAGAGAGGCAAATGAGAGCTGGAGAGAGTTTCCTCGAAGCTGCTTGGAGTTCTAGGCACAACCTGGGACTCGTCTTCAGCGCTCAGCACTTAATGAAGTTATTAGAAAAGAAGAAGTGCAATCATTTTCAGCTTTTAGCTTCTGGTTTGGCAATTAACTTGCGTTCAGCTCGTGTCTAAGCATTCAATTCAATCTTAACTGCCATCGCAAATGCCGCATAAATCTTGAGCGCAAAGACTCGCCAGCTCCGACTGCAGCTTGGAGCTCCTCTTGCGGCGTGTTAGGGAGGCGTTGCCCAGGGTCCAGAGACATTTACGACCTGTTCCTCCATGCACAAATGACAAAAATTGATGGAATTTCCTTGGCTCCGCGGAGTTGCTCAAATTTAATGGTCCAAGCGGAGTGCCACATTCCCTATTGATTTTTTTCTTTTTTTTTTTGGCTTTTAATTAACAAAGTCATTTGGCTGCTCTCCGCCTTGACACATGTGCTGCTTGGAGGGGGAGGGGCGTGGCAAAAGCAAAAGCAAAAGCCTCCGCTGATGGAGCTGCCCCAGACAACGGCGCCAGCGTGAAGTGCCGCAGCATTTTGTGATTTATTTATGCACGTGGCCGTAAAATAAGATTTTGTTTTCGTTTTCTTTGCCTTCTTTTAAGGTTTTTGTCCGCGGCCATTAAGCGGCGGTCTCCGCATGTTCGCCCATGCTAATTGCCTCGTAACGCAGAGATGGCCAGAACACAAACTGCAGAACCGCGCAAATTAATTGGGCGGCACAGGGACGAGGGCAAAGGGTATTCAATGCTTCGATCTAGCGGCGCTTTTCGCTGCCTTTTCTCTGCCGCTCTTTGAGCCGCGTTAAGCTGCTGTCAAAGTGTCCGAAACGAAACGTGTCTCGCCCACATCAAAGTGAGTTCGTATCTGAAATTGTTGCTCTTAGACATCCAAAGAAGTGCGTGCCTCTACAAGGGATTTGTTGTGCATTTTTGGGGCACTTTTGAACATTTGTTCGTGTCATTTCGTTGGCCCAAAAGTCGACACCTGATTGACAGCGACACGGGAAATTCTTAGGAGAGTTCCTGCAGTTCCAATTTATAGATCTAATTAATGAAACATTTAACGCACACGCAAGGCCATCAATTAAGCGGCATGTGCGGCATGTGCGGCATGTGCGGCATTTGCGGCGTGCCGCGGCAGTCGCGTAATTTTTATTGACAGCTTCAATTTTTTGCATTTAAATTGGCTGCATGCCACAGGACTGGAGGCGAGGCATTAACACTCTCTAACCTGCCACAAGCGGGTTTCTGGCTGGCAGTGGCCAGCGGCCAGCGGCCAGCGGCCAGCGGCGTGATAAGCGAAACGGAATCATTGTTTGAACGGGGCTTAGATCTGCGTAAAGACCTTTCTGCCTGGCCACAATCTGCGGCATCATTTAACTGTCAACTAATTATGAGCTGCCTCCCTGCTGCCAGTTGTCAGCGAGAGAGAACCGTTAGTGCCGGCGTGCACTTTACCGTTGCAGCGCTTTTTGTCAAACATTTGGCCAAATGCAAAGGCAATGCCTGGCGGCCAAATACCCTGACAGAGGTGGAGGCCAAGCCAAAGCGGGTTTTGATTATCATTTGAGACGGCAAATGGCATATTTAATGCTACTTTTTAAGGGATTTATCCAGCAATTGCTTAACAAAATGTTCGCCCAACGAAACTGAGAGAGAGTCTGACCAATTGCATGAAGGCTTATTTATTAAGCAAAGATAAATCGATCTCCCATTGGCAGCTCAGAGCTGCAAGCTGCCGGCCAGCATCGTCATACCCGTTGGCACACTGCCAGGGTCCACATAGGATCCACAGGAGGATCCTCCGCTGCGTAGGCAGACGAACACACAGAGAAATGTTCGGTGCTGCTGGGTTTTGTTAATGGCCAAGAAATTAGATTCCAATTTCAGCTGGCCATAAATCAAAAATGAAAGCGAACATGCAGCAGCGGGGTGGTGGAGGGGGAGGAGGAGCAGCAGCCAGCCAGCCTCAACTTTATTACGGTTAATTTGTGAACAGTTTTGCTGAGCTGCAAGCCGCATAAATCAAATCGGATTTGACTGTACTGGCACTGTGGGCACTGTGGACATGTTTTAGGCCTGCAAATGTGTCATTTATAATTATGGTTTTAGCCAGAGTGCAGTTGATTTATGCCTGGGGGAGGGAAGCAGAAGCACAGAAGCAGCTCCGGCTCGTCTTTTTTGCTTATTGAAATCAATCAGTGCCAATTTGTTTACCGAATCATCATAAAAACCAAAGCAGAGTCCAAAGCCACTCGACCTAACGGCTGTCCGTGCTGGAAGGGGGTTGGGGCAGGGGAAAGGAAGAACGAACGAAAAATGTAATTATGGTCAAAAACAAAATTGAGCATAATCACGGCGGCATGGCAGCCACCAGCATTAATGTATAAAAATCGAAGCAGCAACAAACACAAAATAGTGGAAAGAAAAAGAGAAGAGAGAAGAGAAGAGAGAAGAGAGCGGAGAAGAGGCCCACAGACGACGACAAGTAACAAGGGGGAAGGGGGAAGAGGGCAGAGGGGGAACAAAAAATAGAAGAGAAACAGAAAGAGGCAAAGACACGGCTTCAATTAAAAAATAAGTGCGGAAAGGGGCCGCAGGTAGAAGAGGGAAGAGGCACAGGCAGAGTGGAGTGCTGGCTGCTTGGAGTGTAGAAAACAAGTTCATAGACCAAAGACAACGACCGCAGAAGCAGCAGCCAGCCAGCCAGCCAGCCAGCCAGCAGCCAGCTGCCTGGAGCAACTCCTGCCTCTGCCATTCCTTTTGCTACTCTCACAGCCGAGCAGCGCCTCTAGTGGGCAGAGGGCGCAGTTGCAACTTCCATTTGCGGCGCTCCTCCTGCCGCTGCTGATGCATTGGCAAAACAAAGTTTTTGGAATTAATTGGTCGTCGCTTCGAATCAAAATGAATGCCCTGAATCAATTACCATGAAAACAAATTGGAACTTGGGCCACGCTCTCCCCAGCTAAATTTGCATTGATGTTGCAGCCAGAAGAAAGCCTGTTGCGGCTGCCACAAACCTGATCGCTCTTTTGGTTATGTTGCACTGTTCTCGCGGTGTTGCCTGTTGCCTGCTCTTCAATGCTGCCGCCTAGCACACAAATTGCTGGCATAGTTGCTGCTGCTGTTTGCAGCTGTGAAAATTTGCACGCTCGCAAAACAATTTTGCTGCCCGTTAGCAGGCAGCGAGGCAGCGAGGCAGCGTGTACATATTTGCCGCCCAACCTTTAATTGGTTTAGTTGTTGGCCACAAAGGCAAAAGGCTGCAAATTGAAACAAGAAATTAGCGTGGAAAAGTACAGTTGACCACCCAGTGGCGGGGTCGGGGCAGACTCTCACATTCTTAATCAACTTTCAGGTTGAGTGCGAACCGTCCAGCCGCCTGCCTGCCTGCCTGCCTGCCTGCCAAAGTCAATAAAAATGTCAACACGCCAAATGTCAAATTGTCATGTTGACAAGGCAGACGCGACAGCAGCAGCGGCAGAACGTGGTCCATGTGGCGGGGGGCAGCATTCTCTCTCATAGAAACTTTACGAGCTTTTGCTCTCTGCGTTCCCAGCCACTTTTATGGACAATTCAAAAATCGTTTATGACAATCGCAGACAACACAAAGAGCGCGCCGCAGCGGGGCTCAAAGCTTTTTAATAAACTTTTTCGTTGTTGTTCTGTGTTTTGTGTGGAGTAAAACAATAAAAAGGACATGTGTAGAGGGCAGCACAGGGAGCGCCACATAATTGCTGTCCAGCGCAGAAATGTCGTAAAAACAAGTCCGCAATAGCAGCACACACCTGCCCCAAAGGGACTCACAAACAGGCACGGAGAAACCCTACAAGATATGGTTGCTGGTTTTATGTTGCACGGTGTAGAAACTTTCGCCTGTAGAAATGTTTCACTGAATTTCGAGCTCATCCGATCCAACATTAACCCAAATCTCATCCACCAACACGGCAAATGACTTGTGAGAAAAAACCGCACACAAAGTGCCAAAGTGATTTCGAGGCTAACCTTTGAAGCCATTGTATGTCTGTCTGTCCGTCTGTCCGTCTGTCCATCGTTTAGGCCGTCTTTGGCCAGCCATTGAGCCGTCGCTCATCGTTGCTTTTGGGCAATTTGTCAACGTGTCCGTCCAACCGGCGGACTAATGATTATTCATTTGGATGGATGTGGCTGCCGGATAAAGTCGAACGATCTGGCTAAAAATAGACACAGACACAGACAGCTGCAGTCTTGCCACCTTCAGTTTGCGGTTATCAATGGATGGATGGATGGCCCTCTGCCTGCGATATGCCAATGCCAATGTCGCTATCGATGTCGATGTCGATGTCTGGCGTTGAACTAGTTTTCCAAAAGGGCCACTCCGCAAAACCAGTTTCTGGGTCATCGACTGCCAAAGTAATTGCCTGCAAGGAACGAAGGGTTTCCAGTCCCCGATCAATGCAAATACGAGACGCGCAGTGCCAGCTGCAGTTGGGAGCGCGCGCTTTTATGTTGCCCGGACAACAATGTTGTGCAACATTTGTGGCCAGGCCGGGCCAGCACATGTGTTTGTGTGTTGCTGTTGCTGCCTGCACTTTCCATTTTGTTCTGCTGGCCACCTTAATGACTTCATAGACCGAGAGCCAGGCAACCAAATTGAAACTTGCCACAATTGCTGTGGCAATTTTACGCAATTCGTTTCAGTCAACAATAAATTTGCAGCGCGCAAATGGAAAAGAAATGCAGGTCGCTCGCCCCAGTGGATGGTGGGATGTGGGTCTTGGATGTTTCCATGTTTCCTTGTTTCGTTGAAGCTGGACTAAAGTCGTACGATAAACTTAGACACAGACTCGCGCGCGCTCTCTCTCTCTGTGTGTTTCTGGGTGCCGCGGGGCCGTCAACAAATTTTGTGTTTAGGCACAGTTTCGGGTTTGCTTTTCATTTGTGGAACAGTTGGAGATTGCAGCAGCGGCTTGGGTGCCGCGACTGAGGTGTCCCGGCTGTGTTGCTACGACTGTGGGCCGTTTGTTTGGTTCGGTAATTTGAGTTTGAATGCAGCTGATTTGACAGCGGAGCAACACTTTGGTATCCCCAAGCCGTATCCAGCTGGGACGCGACGCTGCACGTGCATGTCCAGCGACTTTTGATTCGCATTTCGCATTCGTTCGCACTCCCCGCTCACAAACCCAATTACTATTCCCAGTCGCTGTGCCAGAGCATTCTTTGCCTACAGCTTTTTGAGCTTTAAAATGCAAATGTCAAACGAAATTGTTGCTGGGTAGTCAGAATCTGCGCAATTAATTTGCTGGCAAACCGCAGCAACCGCTGCGCATTGGCACTCACTATTGACACATCAGCGCCAGCCAGCCAGCCAGCCACACTCTCTCCCTGCCCACCGACTCCCCAATGGCTGCTGGACTAGAAATGGAATTGGAAAATGCTGAATGTTGAATCCGTACAGAGAGAGAGAATGAAAGAATTCACTGGTTAAAAACAACAAAAGGGCGGACAGCATTGTTTTGATAAAACGCCCGCATGAACTGCACATTTACAGTACAGTTCGCTACGCCCTCATACACTACCCACAATCCACAACACACCACTCTCCAGTTCTCCCCCTCCCTTGCTCATTCAAAGCTCGACACGATTGTGCCTGCACAGACAATGCACAGTTATCCTTTGATATGGCAAACTGCCATGAAATGGTGCGTGTTCATTTCACCGATGTTAGGCAGCAAAGCACAGAGAATGCGCTACAAAAGGGCAACCTTAAAAGAGAGAGCAAGAAAGAGAGCACTGAATTTTTGGCAGAAATAACTGTTCTTCTGCAAGCTGCAGCAGAACCTCAAAGCAAAAAGAGCCAGCAGACCCACCCTCAAAGCAAAGAGAGGATCAAAGAGAGCAGAACTTTATTTGCTACCTGCTACCTGCAGCAGCTTTCGCTTCAAGCAGCGCCTGCAGCAGAACTTCGAAGCAAAGAGAGTACCGAAAAGAGCACTGCGCTTAGGCAGAAATTAATTTTCGACCTGCTGCCCAGCCGAAGCGGATCACTGACGTTCACTGCAAGCTGCAGACGTTGCGGTAGGCCGAGCTGCTTGGATTACAGGGTACCTAGCATACAGCACTGATGCGATAACAATGTCGAGCTTGGCTTTAACATGAATGACAACGGCGACAGCGCTGCGGGCTTGCGCTGGGGCCTGTCCCTGTGGCATGGTTTGGGCTTGGGGGCTAGGACTTTGCTGCCAGACAAACAGCAACACAACGCGGGCTGTCGATTTGTTTGTGCTCTGAAGCGTATATTTTTCATTTTGACGTTTGCAAAAAAAATTCCCCCACCACACTCCATCAGCACACACAAAAAGCAAACAAAACAAATAGCAAAAAAAAAAAACGCATGAAAAACAAACTAAAATTGACAGCTTGTTCGGAGCGGCAATAGGAAGTGAAAAACCGCATAAATCCGGCGACTTACAAAGGGAATACGTACAAGCCGTCCGAGTATGCGGTTTTTATATTACATTAACAATTTGATCCGAGCCGAGAGATTAACAGCCAACCAAACTCTGACCCGGCATGTCCGCACCGCAGCAGGAAACACTTTAATTGCGATTTTCATTATTATTAAATTTGAATTAGTCAAGGCTCGAGACTCCACACTAAATTCTAAATTCTTTCTCGTTTGCAGACCCATCAGCCGGACGCCGCTAACGCAGATCTCCTATCTGCAGAAGATACCCACGCTGCCGCGCCACTTCTCGCCCAGCGGCGGCTGCGCCCAGGGACTGCCCCCACCGCCGGCCCTCGCTGGCTGTGGCTCCGCCTTGGGCCTGCCCAGCAGCTCCTCTGCCAGCGCTCTGTATGCCGCGCAGAATGCGGGCATGCTGCCCACCTCCCCGCTGCCGCTGCAACGCCATCAGCAGTACTTGCCGCCGCACCATCAGCAGCTGCCTGGAGCCGCACTTGGACCGCAGTACTCGCCCGCTGTTTCGGGCTGCTCCTCCACTGCCAAATACTCGAATGCACCGCTGCCGCCGCATCATCATCAGCTGTCCCCAGCGCTGTCCACGCCGTCGCCGCCCTCGCTGCTGCACCATCCCGGCGCAGGCACGTCCTCCGTCTCGGCACACGCTCCCTTCCTGGCCGGTCCGCACATGGATATGCAGCGGCAGTCGCACTCGGACGATGACAGCGGCTGTGCGCTGGAGGAATACACCTGGGTGCCGCCCGGACTGCGACCCGATCAGGTTAGATTTGGATCGTAAAATTTCCCTTTAAAAATTCCCCCTAGAGAATGCACAAACCGCTGTTAAAGCTAGTGCTAAAACCCTTTGGCACTCACGCGCCCAGGTCTAGCCCGACTGGGAGCAAGATTTGTGGGCTGGCGATAAGCGAAATACTTGAGTTATTGTGCGTTATTTTGTCACTCGGAGCGAGCTGTAGATAAATACACGCGACGAGGCCATAAATCAGCAACGGAGCAGACTCGCAGCCTTCGCCATAGTTGGGAGACGCAGCTGATAGTCGGAGAGCTCAGAGCTCAGAGCTGAAACCCGCTTTATGGTACTGTGTCAATTAGTTGAGGTTCTGCTCTGTGTACCATCCATCCATCTACGACTATCTATCGAATTAGATTGTGCTAATGAAAGTCCAGGGCTATTCCTCAATGCGAATTTGACTTTAATGGCCCGGGCCGAACTCTTTCTGGCCTGGCCATCGTTTCGTGCCTTTTTCAATTATTTGGCCCGCAAACCCGAAACGAACTCGTAAATTATTCGCGTGAAATATGCGACAATGCCAAATAAATCTTTCACAATCTTCGCAACCGGCAACGGGCAACCATTTTGCATGCCCCAACCGCTGCCTGCTGCCAAATCTTTCTTTTGCCATTTTCCGCTGAACTCGCTGTGGCTTCCGTTAAAGCTAAAGCTGTCCCCCAGTCCGGCCCAACGGACCTATCAAATGTCTGGCATTGCATTTCTTTTTTTTTTCGTTTCCTTGCTGCATTTTTTCTGTGACTTTTACAAACAGAATTGAAAATTTATTTACAGCCATGTGGCAGCAATTTACGTTGATGCGGCATAAGCCATGTGTCAGTCACTCGCTGTGAGAGTCGGCTTGGCAGCATCTCTCACAGCCGCCGAGGGGCAACGGGCAGAGCTGCAGAACGTTCTGCAGCGTCTGCTGCGAGCGTGGCCAATAAAGTTGGCTTAGCACGTTGTGCACCTTTCAACCTGGCTCAACCAGAATGAAGTCCCGACAGAGAGAGAGAGAGGGAAATCAGCGCAATAAAATCAAAAATCTTTTACTCCACCCCGCTGTGTGGCTAGGAACTCGCCTAACCCTTTCTCCCCTCTATCCCTCTGTCAACTGTATTTAAGCATTCCATTTGCTCAATTGTGTGGCTTGTTTACCCGCAGGTCCGCTTGTACTTCTCGCAAATACCCGACGACAAAGTGCCATACGTCAACAGTCCGGGGGAGCAGTATCGGGTGCGACAATTGCTGCATCAACTGCCGCCGCATGATAACGAGGTGAGTACGGAACAAAAAAAAGGGGCAAAAAATGGAAGGCGACACCTACTGGTCGCTGGCTGTAGTCTGCCTGGAACCTGTCAATTTCGTGTCATTTATCCAAGTGCTCTTTATCGTGATTGAAAGCGCGACGCGCATTGCGGGGCTATGACATTTCAAAGTCAAATTGTACGCCCCAACCCCTTGGCCGCTGTGTAACCTTTAATTAAAGGAGGTAAAAAAAAAACGCACACAAGTGCAGTGCGGGTAGAGCAGTGCAAGCAGTGCAGAGTCTGGCTGCTGTCGGTATTTGGAGCAAAAAACTATTCAAACAAACACACAAAAAGCGGCTTGAGCGGATTGCCAGATATCAGCCACTGCCATGGCCAACACTGGCTAACGATGGCTCCCAGGAACGCTCATTGAAGGCCAAACTACGTGTGTGCCCGAAAAAATAAGTGGAGGCAGAGCCAAACACACAAAAATTTGCATACAACACACAAACGAGACGGGACGAGACGAGAGGAGCTGGGCTGACCGCAGTGGAGCTGCAGGCCAGTCTGCGCGCGGCTACCGTTTTGCCTTTTGCGGTCTGCCTGTCTGGCCACCCCACAATCTCCGACTGTACGTTCCTGGAAAGATCACTTGAGACAGCCCACGGTTCGGCTGCAACATGTTGAACATATGATTTCCCTGTCCAAAAAAGAGGGACAGGGAGAGGGAGAGCTAGAACGGTTTTCTTCAGTTTACTTGCTGCTGTCATTGCAGGTTCGTTACTGTCACTCACTGACGGATGAGGAGCGCAAGGAGCTGCGCCTGTTCTCCACACAACGCAAGCGGGATGCCCTCGGACGCGGCAATGTGCGACAGCTGATGAGCGCGCGACCATGCGACGGGGTGAGCCTATGCCCGACAGGCCGACACTGTGCCACATTCAATAACTCTCATGCCCTTGCCCCTGTTGCAGTGCGACGAACTCATTTCCACGGGCGACATTGCGGTGTTCGCTACGCGCCTGGGACCCAATGCCAGCTGGCATCCGGCCTGCTTTGCGTGCTGCATCTGCCGTGAGCTGCTCGTGGATCTCATCTACTTTCATCGGGATGGACGCATGTACTGTGGCCGGCATCACGCGGAGACGCTCAAGCCGCGCTGCTCGGCCTGCGATGAGGTAAGAGAATCACCTCTGGGATGTGGGATGCCCACAACTCAACTCTGATGCAACTTTGCTCCCTTCCCGCTTTCAGATCATCCTCGCCGATGAGTGCACCGAGGCGGAGGGTCGTGCCTGGCACATGAATCACTTTGCCTGCCACGAGTGTGACAAGCAGTTGGGCGGCCAGCGGTACATTATGCGCGAGGGAAAACCCTACTGCTTGCACTGCTTCGACGCAATGTTCGCGGAGTACTGCGACTACTGCGGCGAGGCCATTGGCGTGGACCAGGGACAGATGAGCCACGACGGGCAGCACTGGCATGCCACCGATGAGTGCTTCTCGTGCAACACGTGCCGCTGCTCGCTGCTGGGACGCGCCTTTCTGCCGCGACGTGGCGCCATCTACTGCTCGATTGCCTGCAGCAAGGGCGAGCCGCCGACGCCGTCGGATAGCTCCGGCACCGGCATGTACACCACGCCCACACCGCCCACGCAGCGTGTGCGGCCACAGACGCGCATCACCAGCAGCCACGCCTCCAGCTCGCCGCCCATGTCGCCGCAGCAGCAGCAGCAGCACCAAGCGAGCTTCAACCAGGCGATGTACCAGCTGCAGAGCCAGCAAATGGCAGCGGCCGGGGGGGCAGCCACAGCTGGGGGCAGTCTCTTGGGGCTGGGCGGGGAACTGTCCCTGCTGGAGCAGGCCAAGCAGAGCCAGAGCTACGCCACCTCCGACTCGGATGCGGGCGTGGTCAAGGATCTGGAGCACTGCCGCGGAGGCGGAGGCGGAGGCGGAGGCGGCGCGGACTTTACCGACTTTTCCAGCACCTCGCAGAATCTGTCGCCGCTCAACTCCCCCGGCGACTTCCCGCCGCACGCGCTCATGCCGCAGCCCATGGAGCTGCAGCAGCGGGATGGCGTCTACAACTTCAACGAGATGTCCTCGAATCTGGATGCCGCGTGGCCCGCCAAGCCTCCGCTGGGCGCCACACACAGCTACCAGCTGCAGCGGCAGCTGCTGGAACACTCCCACACCTCCAGCATGCCCGAGCTGGCGGGGAAGGGGCCAATGCTGCAGCATCATCATCAGCAGCAGCAGCAGCAGCAGCCAGCGTTGCATGCCTCCGCGCAGCAGTTTCAGCACGAGTACGCGGACATCCTGCATCCAGGGACTGCCACCGGGGAGCTGCCTGAGTTGCCGACGCCCAACCTCAGTGTGGCTTCGACGGCGCTGCCGCCCGAGCTGATGGGTTCGCCCACAAACTCCGCTGGGGATCGCTCGCTGAACACGCCCCTGTCCACCCACTCGGCCACGCATGCGGCCACCCACCCCGTGTCCATACTGAGTGGCGCCTCCTCCTCGTCGCCCATGAGCGGGGAGCCCGCGAAGAAGAAGGGCGTCCGCTTTGAGGGCATCCCGGACACGCTGCCACGCTCCCGCAGCTACTCGGGCAATGGAGCGGGCACGAGCCCGGAGACGAGACAAGGCGACAAGGACAGAGACAAGGAGCGGGACAAGGAGCGGCATGGAGCGGGACACTCCTCGCGGCGCAGACGCCGCCGCAAGTCCAGCAGCGCCGCCGCCGCCTCCTCCTCCAGTCATCACCATCGCAGCGGCAGCGGCCATCGCTCGCACTCCACCAGCCGCGCAGACACCTACGCCCCGGCACAGCCGCTGTCCTCGTCCTACCAGGGAGCGCCCTCCATGCTGCAGGCGGACAGCGAGTCCCCGCACAAGGGGCGGCAGCCCAGGGAGGAGTCCGCGGAGGAGTCCGATGTGTGCTCCACGTGCAGCTCGAGCTCCTCCAGCTCCGAGGACTACATGATGATGTACCAGCTGCCACAGCGACGGCACTACGGCGGCGTGCGGGTGAGCTACGTGCCCAACGATGCGCTGGCCTACGATCGCAAGCGGAAGCCCGCGGAGCTGCCCGCCGACAAGGACAAGAACTGCATCATCTCGTGATCCCTGAGGGCATTTCAACTAGAGTCGAGCAGCGGCGGAGCAGGAGCATTGTTAATGAGGCGCCGCGGGGCAGCTCCACTCGCTAACGAAGTAGCCACAGAAGCTGCAAGGGATCATCAATTCAGAGCGAAACGTGGCTGAACGCGGAGCAGGGGCAGAGCTGCAGCAGTTGAGAGAGCGAAACGGGATCCCGAGGATGCAACACAATAGGAGCCAAGCACAGGCGGCGGCTCCACACTGTTCCAAATACACACAGCCCTAGTTTAGGCTAAGCGACTAAGCAAGTACACAACTAGTTTAGGCCGAGCAACTAAGCAAAGCAGAACCCAACTTACTTCCAACTGGCAAGTGGAAAAACTATTTTCACATACGCAAATATTTGGGCAGCTAAAAACTATTTATGCAGCGGCAAAGTACGAGTTTTAAGCCACAAATTTAACTGTAAATTGAAGTAAAATTAATTTTATTTATTATTAACTTTTAGTTCCACTTTAAGCCACATTTTCATGAATAAAGCAAGCAAAAATGGGGAATAAATTGTGTGACATTTTGGCTGGAGCTCTGAGCAGAGATACAGTGCGTGCCATGCCCATGGGTTTGCCTTCTTGCAGCTGCAATTATGAGCCAAACGCATAATGAATACAAATTGCTGGCTGCTGCTTGTTGCATTCTGCATTTGCATGTCCAGTCCAGCCAGCGGCGGGCAGCACGAAAATTAAAATCGAAGACACAGCCAGAGAGCTCTTCTCGTTTTTCCTGCTAATAAGTTGCCGGGCAAATTATGGCAGGGACGACAACAACGTTGCAACTGCAATCACATGCATGCAACGCTGACTACTGGCTACTGGCTGCAGGGCGTAATTAGCCAGGCTAAGAAGGAATGCTGAGTAAAGTGCTGCCCCTGCCTGCCTGCCTGCCTGGCTGCTGCTGCTTAGAAGCAAACCCAATCCCGCCCTCCTGCGCTCATTGGCAGCTGTGTAATTTGTGTTAATGCTGCATCCCCCCCCGAACCAATGCCAAGGTCCGGCTAATGGCCACTTAATAATGCCGCATGCCACCTGCATGGATTTGGCGATGCGACCAAGCGATAAGCGAGCCAAAATTGTCTGCGTCTGGCATTGATAAGCCCGAGTGTGTGACAAAGGGACATCTGGACTTTTGCAATTGTAATTTTGGGTAAAAGTTTCTGGGGTTCTGCTGCTCGCTAAAGTGCATTTGCCAGATAGATTTTTGCTTGTTAGATGCCATTTTTCGTTATAATCCAGCAGCAGACAATGGATGTGCGTGCTGCCTCCCCGCTGCCCTCTGTCCTGTGTCCTGTGTGTCCTTTTTGTGCTTTATTGCATGTCATTTCCGTTTTGGCCGGTCCTGCGGCGCACTTCCGATGATTGGTATGGCGTACGGTGGGTAGTCTGGCCGGCATCCTGCAGCCATTATGTTTATCCTGCCACACACACAGACACTTGTACACTTGTACATCAGATATGGCAGAATTTATATTCGCATTTCCGACGCTCATTTTTATCATGACCAAAGGGGAGAGACGCTGCCCCCGAACAAATTGTAATGTAGCGAGAGTACTTATTTGTGGCCAGTGTGGAGGCAGGGACTGGGGCGTGAAGCTGCACAAATAAACGGTGCACTTTCAAGCTGCCAGTTGCAGCGCAGAAATGAAAGCTGCCACTGCAAAGCGTGGCATACTTTTAGGCTGCCCAAATTGAGCCACAAAAAATGTTTGCTTAAGCAATGGAAAACCAGCGAAATGTTGAGCAGAGAATGCAGCTAAAGTGACACGAAAGCGTAGCTAAAAAAATATGAAAATGCACAGTAAATAATACACCAAAATTGACACCAAAAGTCAACAATTTGCAGCAAAAACTACACAAAAATGTACAAGAAAAAACAAAGAAAACTGCGGGGAAAGTTTCGCACAAATGCATAAGCGAAAACAAGTTATTAACTCTGTCGCAATAAAATGCATAACATGAGGGAAAACCCTGCTTAATTTATGTGTCCACTGGGCTGGCTTATTATTGCAGCAATTTTCTGGCACTCCGCAGCCCCCTTTGGGCTGGCGGTGGGCACTGCGGCTAATGGCGCAGCTTTCAGCAATTGTTTACTGGCCCATTAATTAATACAAATATAAATTGGCAATGCGAGGCGAGTGCGTGCTGGCCAAAAGCAATGAATCAAGCGTAGGCTCGGCCAGGGGCATAAATAACCACGAAATGGCCGAGCAGCAAAACAAAACAAAAAAAAATACATCCATACGCCCTTCGCCAGGGACGTTTAATTAATTTTTAGCGTGTTTCGCAGACGTCGTGCAACAGCAAAAAAAGAGCAGAAACAATTATTAATATTCGCCCACACACACACAGACACACGTGCAGGCTGTGCATGTGTGGAAGGATCATCATCAGCATCAGACTTGAGGCCTTGAAGAGATAGTCGGCGAGTGTCGAATTAAATTAAGCATTATTGATGGTGCCAAGAGGGGGTCTCTGGTGTTTATCGCAACATAAGACTGTGCCGAGCAACAGTGTGGCAGGAGGGGAGGGAAAAACTGGCAGCGAGTCGTGTGGGGCATACAAATATCGCAATCATTAGCTCCGCTGGTGGCTGGCTCTCCCGCTCTTCTGTGTCTAATGCTCAAATCTAATTAAAGCTGCACTACAGCACCGCACACATAAGTTCTCTCCGTTCTAGTGTCCACTGTGCACACCATAAGTGCCACAAATAATCATAAAACTAATGCCACAGACACTCGCAGCTGCCCTTGGCTGGAACTGACTTTGCGACTCTCTTCTGCGCTGTGTCTTACACTCACACTTTTGGCCGTATTTATGATGGTTGTACTTTAGCTGCTTGTAGCTCTCACTTGTATCCCGGCATCTGTATCCCTTTTGGCTGTGTCTTAGCTTCATATTTCATTATGAATTTATGTGCCTCGCCGCTGCTTGTAATGTGTTTATGGGCCAAGCGCTGGCTCTGGCTTGTAGCTTTAATGTGGCTACCGAAACATATGTTTCGGGCGCTGTTTGGGTGGCGGGCAGCCTTTAATTAAGTCGCTCCGCACTGCCAGCTAAATAATTAAAATATGCAAATGCCGTCTAAGCCGGCGCCAGGCGACACGTACACCGAGCAGACAAAACGTCGGACCGGTCACAGTCCACAGTCCAATCCAACGATTTGCTTAAATTATTCATAGCTATGCAGTTGGCCTTGCGGAGTTGGCTAGTAAATTAAATAAATGGACTCGTCGTGAGAAAGTTTCAACGATCTATGCACGAAAAATGCTGTGCAGCAGTGAATTCCCGGCGACTGCTCGATGGCTCCATGCTCCGCGCTCCGCGCTCAAATGTATGCTACACTTTTTGGTCTGCCTCCTTCCCCCTATCCTGGGCTGGCTAAAATATTCAATTATCGAAGTGGTAGGCCCTGGACTCCGCCACTGCCCAACTTTTGCATCGTTTTGTTTAATTGTTAAAGTTTTATGTGCAGATTTTATTCGTCTTTTTTACAACTTTTTCTGGCCATGGAATGTTTCCCTTTCCGCCACTGCCAGAGGTCGAGCGAGCGGCGAGGAAACATAATTTTTAATTTCGTGTGCGGGCCATTTTTTTATTGGTTTTTAATTTCGTTGCTGCCAGGCAGGCACAGACCAAAGTCAGGCAATGTCCGTCTTGTGCAGTGAATGTAAACAGCATCCTTGGAGGCGCTTCTCCACGCTTCTTGGGGGGTTGTCACAAAGCGTTTGGCGTTTGGCTATCATCAGCAGACAGGTTGGGTTGCGCCACCCCCCCCCGCTCCGCCTGCTAATATGCTTTGTCTCTAGCTTTCGTTTTAATTCTTTTTTTTTTTGGGTTTGTTCTTCCTTTTGCTGTTGCTGTTGCTTTTTCATTACTTTGGCTTAAAATTGATATGGCAGAGACGGCGCCAGCGCCCGTGCCATCAATACGCTTCATGTTTATTTTACCAGACAGAGCGAGAGGAGCACACCCACACACCCACACACCCACACACCCACACATCCACACACATCCCTCGCGCTGTCTCTCTGTGTCTGCTCCTGCGTTTGTGGCCAGTTGTTGTGTTTGTCCTGCTGCTCGTTGTCCTTGTGCCTGTCGTTCATGGGTTTTTAATTACGGCAAGAATAACAATATCATGTGGTCGCTCGCTGGACTAACTTTAACTTCACTTGCAGCCCCATCTAAGTCCTACAAAATGACATTGAAATTCGAAATCAAAATTTGGCACGCCATAATTTGATTGCTTTAACATTTGGCTGCAAACTTTATTATCGCAGGCGGCAGGATTTTGACTCGTTCTGTGCATAGCTGAAATATCGCTTAAATATTTGATGCATCGCACACACAACCACTCAAAAAAAGGAAAGCAGAAGCAGGTGGAAAAATGCAAAGGCAAACAGGCAGCCGCAGGCAGGCAGGCAGGCAGGCACCACGCTAAAGCGCTAAACGTTGTTTGCCATTCGGATATGGGGAGTTACAAAGCATAAAATCAGTGCGAACGAGGAGGAGGGAGTTCCTCCTACAACTTGGCGGCATATTTGAATGTGGCTGCGGGGCAGACACTCAAAGTGGGAGCCAGCTGGGGTTGCAGACAGTCGACAATGTGGAAAATGTGTCTGCGTTTTCGGTTAACAGGAATTTCGCATTTTCCAGCCGATAATCAAAATGTTGATCAAGTTTGAGGCCCCTGGCCCCTGGTCCCTGGTCCCTGGTCCCTGGTCCCTGGTCCAACTTAAAGTTTGTTTTGCTGCAAATGAAGTGCCACGACAAATGACATTTTCTGGGCCTTCTGGCTTTGCCTCTTCATTTTCCGCTTGTGGCTTTTTATTTTTGTAATTTTCTACTTTGTGGCTGCTGCAAAAGGACAGACTCGCTCTCTGCTGTGTAATTATCTGCTTATGCTTGCCGCTCCTTCGCTGTTATTGTGGCTCCTTTGCTGGCATTTTGCAGCCAAAGAAAAGCTGCTTAGGCGCGCAGTCAGCTCCAGCTCCAGCACTCAACCTGCACAGAAGCGGAAGTAATTGGCAATGGCATAAGAGGCCAGGCCATGGCCCTCTGTTTCGGCAATTTGTGCCTGTAATTAGCAAAGCTGTCGCGCGGCTGCCCAGCCTCGAAAACTAATCGAAAATGTTCCCTAGGGCCAAGGCAACCCACAAGTTGCCTCTTCACTTGAAGCTGCACTTCAATTACTTGTTCCAATGCCGCAATTACCATTCGTAATGTGTCCTTGTCAACGCTGACTGTGCTGCTCCTCCGTCTGCAGCTGCAACTCCTTCTCAAGGCATCTGCGGGCTGGTTGTTTGCACCTTTGCTTTGGCAAATTTACACATGGCCCTGGCACTAATAAATCAAAAGTGAAAATGCAAATATTTTGCCAGAACACAGACAGCAGCAGCCAGGCAGCCAGGCAGGAGCCCTCGCCCGAGCCAGACAAACATTCTGTGTGTGTGGCTGTAGCGCTCTGGCAATTTATTGCAG